GGSMMWGTGTTCAACCACCTTGGGCGGGCAGAAGAGTTCCCTGGGCTGTGTTTTGTCCTGGATATTCAGGATAACTGCATTCAGACCCTATTTGTCTGTAGGATTTGGTGTTTGGGTTGTGCCTGCTCGTGCTGGAGGCTGCTCCTACAATCATTCCTGCTTTGATGCTGCGTTCCCAGGAGTTGCCCCTTCCTGCTCTGTCACAGGAGCCAAATGCAAGTGCTGATAGGTGAATCCATTCCTCAGTGGATGGAATTTATCCCTGGRCAGAGATAATCTCGATGGAGGAGCAGCACATCAAAACTTTCCATTTTAGAAATTTTGGAGCCCTGAACTGCTTCCTCTGCAGGAGCCTGAACTCTCTTTGGTGATGGAATCAGAGCTGTGCCAGCCCTTCCTGCTCCGAGCCATGGAAAATCAAACATCCCAAGATTTATTTCCACTAGAAATGATTTATATCTTTGACTTGTATTTATTTTGTAGGGTTTGGGCTGTGGAAGAGCAGAACTCTGCTGAAATTCTGTATTTTGAGCCCTGTGGCTGGGGTTACAAACCCCAGGATTTTAATCTCCAGGTTTTGAAAATATCCAGGCTCAAAATATCCCAAAAGGTGCTAAAAGRAGAAATTGCCTGTACCTGTCTGAAATTATCCGGTGTTTGTTATGGAGAGGAGAAAACTTCCCATTAAAATGTTCTTTACCTCGTCAGCTGATCATCCTCTGTGGATTCTGAAATGAAAGCTTCAGAATTGTGTCAAGCAGCCTTTTTTTTCCTGCCTGATTATTCCTTTTTTTCTGTTTTTTTTTAAATATTTTTATTTTGAAATCTTGCAGAGTAAGTGTGTCAAGTACTGGCCGGATGAATATTCCCTGAAGGAATACGGAGTGATGCGCGTCCGGAATGTGAAGGAGAGYGCAGCGCACGATTACACCCTGAGAGAGCTGAAACTTTCCAAAGTTGGCCAGGTGAGCACCAGAGCAGCTCTGTCCTTTTAGTTCAGCTTATTGATCACAAAGGAAAAATAAAAAATAAAAAACAGGAATAGCCCATTTCTTTGGGATCAATAAAAGCACTCGGAGATTAAGAAGTGGAGCTCTGCCTTTCTTTGAAGCTCCACGTTTAGTTCCATCCATCTCTCTCCGTGCCCTTGGGATAATTGAAGATTCTCCTACCTAAGCAGCTTTTGGCAGGAGAGGCAGCGCTGCAGAGCTTGGGGGGAAATCTGGGAAGAGGGATAAAGCTTTGAACTGAGGACACTTCAGTCCAGGCAGGCATTTCCTCCTCCT